CCAGCCGGTAACGTGTCACCAGCCACACACATGTCACCAGCTGGCCACGTGTCACCAACTAGACACGTGTCACCAACCAGACACATGTCACCAACCGGACACGTGTCACCAGCTGGACACAGTGGACGCCTCTGCAGATGCAGCGTGGGAGGTAGAAACTCAGTAAAGAGGCAGCGAGCGACAAGCAGGGAAGAAAGAGATACAGCTGAGAGAAAATAAGACGCGAGTCGCTTCCACAGAGCAGCGACTCGAGGGAGGGGGAGGTCAAATGTCAGCCTCCCCCACGTCTACCGATGCGAACCCACATCAGCAAATCCTGCAAGGCATCCGACTCGAATAACACGGGCACACATCACATCATATATATCAGGAGTAGATAATAGGGAAAGAGTGTGACTTCAATAAACAAGGGAATTTCGTCATTTACTAGCCTTAGAATACCTACGATTTACTACGCGTATCCCAACCAACTTGAGCTTAAATCGTACACAGTACATTCGCCTAGCATCGTGCGAAATCGTTTCTTCGTATACACCCGCAATCCGGAGATACAGACTAAAACGTACGACATGATTATCCATTCTGTTGACAGCAAACCGAATGTATAAACCGTCTAACTTGAAACAAAAGGCAGCTACTAGCGCGCCACACCGCATCGCCGAGAGAGCAAGAGTGCGCAAGTAGTCGCGAGGGAGCAAGAGTCGTTAGTAGCTGCTTTTTGTTTCAAATAAGGCGGTTTATACATTCGGTTTGCTGGCAATAGAATGGATAATCGTGTCGTACGTTTTAGTCTGTATCTCCGGATCGCGGGTGTATACGAGGAAACGATTTCGCACGATGCTAGGCGAATGTACTGTGTAAGATTTGAGCTCAAGTTAGTCGAGTTACGCGTAGTAAATCGTAGGTATTCTAAGGCTAGTAAATGACGAATTTCCCTTGTTTATTGAAGTCACACTCCTTCCCTATTATCTACTTCTGATATACATAATCATAAATATGCATGTATATATATATATATATATATATCACATACACACTATATATTTTTATATATACTGTAGGGTACATACATACGATATATAATATATATATATATATATAAATATATAATATATAACACCACATATATATATAATATATATATATAATATATAATATTTATATATTATATATATAATTGTACCAGGTGTACAATACGGTAAAGCATAAAGATCAGAGGTATGGCACAAACAAGTAACCAATGCTGCCACCAGCTTGTCACAGTCACAAGTGCCATCAGTGTCGTTGTCGCATACAGTTTTCTTCAGTATTGTCACCATTGCTGTCACCAACAATAAAACTGTTTCACCAGCATTGTCACCATCATTGTAACCAGCATTGTCACCAGCATTGTCACCAGCATTGGCACCAACAGTGTCACGCGCAACGATTGTCACTACTTGCGTCGTCACCACAACTGACTTAAGGAGGCTCACCGCCAAACTTCGAAACGGCACAACGACGCACTAACCGACGTACACTATCAACACTCCGCCTCGAACACTGAGCAACGGAGCTCGACGCGACCCGGCTCCCACACACTTTGTTTTTTATCGCCCAACACGACAAGGTGTCTCCAGGTGGCGACCACTTACGGTCTTGTAGTCGTCCGAGGCTGTAGATAAGCGCAAATACTTGGATCCGTTACTCTTCTCGCAGTGAGAGGACACGGTCTGGTTGAAGTGGTGGTGTTCCATCGTCGATGTGGAGTAGATGGCGGCTAGAGGCGAGGCGCTCTTCACCATGAAGGCGTTGTTCTTGCCGCGGTGATCGAGGTCGTGGCACAGCTTGACCTCAAGAAGGCTTCGGTATCAAGTGGAACATTATGCCAGCCCGCCTCAGGAGAGACGTGAGCAGGCATGAGAGAAACGGTCGAGGTGGGTAGGTGGATGGATGTGGGTGAGGGGTTGAGAGGTCGTGGCACAGGGCATGAGCAGAGCAACGTACCCATCCCAC